CCTTCTACCTCAGTCAGTGCTGTGCATCTTTATAGCACCATCAACTTGGAGTCAGAGGCTTTGGTTTGGTCCTGGCTCTGACATTTAAAGGTGTGTGGTTGTGTGACTTAACCTCCCCAGGGTTCTTCCTCATCTGTAAAATGGATTGACATGACTGTGAGGTGCCAATAAAATAATAGTTCTTGTGCATACATCTCTGCATGTAAGTGGTAGCAATATTATCATTGTTTCCAAGGGTTAAACACCGAGTTTGGAATTGGGCAGATTTGGAGTTAAATTCTAGCTCCTTTGAGCCTGTTTGTGTGTCTGTGAAATGGACTCAAAGATAGCTTCCCACAGAGCTGATGTGTGGCACCAATGACACAATGTACATGATACACTTAGCTGGTGGGTGCCAGGACTGTCTTCAAGCCGTCAATATTCAAAGCTTCCAGAGGGCAGGGCCATGTGCTGTGGCTCCCAGCATGCCCTCTGACCCTGGCAGACTCTGTGTCTGCTGGATTCTGACCTCATTGTGTGCCAGTTCCTCCTTCCAGATGCCACTCTGCCTTTCTCATGTGACCAAGCTTATGCCTACCTTAGGACCTTTGCACGTGCTTTTAATGGTATGGAGTATTTTCCCTCCATATAGCAGCAGGGCTGGCACCCCCTCTTCATCAGGCCTCTGCTCACATGTCCTCTCCTCAGAGAGGCCTTTCCAGAGCATCCATGTGAAATGGCACTGCTCCCCACGTCAGTCTGCTTTTGCTCACCTTGCTTTTTTGTTTTCCTTCTTGCTCTTCTCATCACCCTGAGTGTTATGTGCTTGCAGGAGGGACTTAGCTTATTTTGTTCACTCATCACCCACAGTTCCAAGAACAGTGCCTATACCTTGTAGGTGCTCAGAGAATACGTGTTGATCCAATGAAATTTGAATCTTTCTTGGTGATGCCTTGGTGACAGCAAGAAAGAGATACCTGAGACATAGACCTCTTCACAGGCATCTTAGAAGTCTCACTTCCTTTTTAAAAACTTTATTTTCTTTTTATTTATTTTTTCCATCATCATTTATCCCCCATACCCTCTTCTACCTCAATCCACCCCCCCCAGAATTACCACACTGTTGTCCATGTCCATGAGTTCTTTCTCTTTTTTTCTTTTGCTCAATCCCTCTACCTCACAACTTCCCCTCATGTCAGCCTGCTCTTTATCTATGAGTCTATCTCTATTTTGTTTCTTAGTTCCATTTGGTCATTCAATTCCACATATTAGTAAAATGGCATGGTACCTGTCTTTCTCTGACTGGCTTATTTCACTTAGCATAGTGTTTTCCAGATCCATCCATGCTGTCGCAAAGGGTAAAATTTCCTTCCTTCCTTCCTTCCTTCCTTCCTTCCTTCCTTCCTTCCTTCCTTCCTTCCTTCCTTTCTTCCTTCCTCCTTTCCTTTTTGTTTTCCTTTTCCTTTTCCTTTCTTTCCTTTCTTTCATACAGCTGAGTACTATTCCATCATATAAATGTACCATGACTGTTTTATTTACTTATCTACTGATGGACACTTGGGCTGCTTCCAAATCTTGGCTATTATAAATAATGCTGCAATGAACATAGGGTTGACTGCTTTGTTTTTTTCTTCTTCTTCTTTTTATTGTTGTTCAAGTACAGTCGTTGTGGGGGGGGGGGCTCCACCTGCAGGGCACCCCCCATTCCCCACCCCCTGCTGGCCACCACGGATAAGAATAAGTCTACCCAGACATGATCTGTTTGGGGAGGAAAAGTGACCAATCTCTCAAAGGAGAAGGGCCAAGAGCCTTTTCCTCAATGGGCTTTTACTAGGTTCGTTTTGCACAGGAATACAGGTAAAGCTCATTAATTATTGTCAGGCAGTAAGAATCAAACAATAGATAACAAAGAACTCTGAGGGCCTATTCTGAGTCAGGGTCTGATAGCTAAAGAGCAATAAAACTTTTGAGGAATAAACTCACTTCTTGCTTGGACCCTTATCATTTAATTGAGAGCATTCTAAACAAAGCAGGTTTCACAGGATTTTACATATTCTTTCTTAGGCCTGATTGCCCGGGAAACCCGCCCTTTCTAGCACAGGGCTGCACTACCCTCTGCCATTGTTTTGGGCTTAAGTCAGGCAGGGGAAGTAAGGCAGCCAAGAGATTAGGAGACCTCGCAGACAGAATGAGGACTCAGGCTTTGTCAAAGCCGAGGGGTGAGAGTCCATCACCCCCTTTTGCTGTAGCCCCCCAAGTCCTTCCTTGGGGGCCTCCCACATGATCATGCCTGTCTTAGATCGTTCCCCCTTTTGGGGAATCTTACTTGTCATTGGCTAACTGACCAAGCATTGGGTCCAGTTATGGATGAAGTAAAAGGAGCAGAAGCAGCGCTCCTGCCAGGGAGATAAGCTTTGTCTCCTTAGTGGCTTATGGTCCAAAGGTTGCTCCCTCAGCCTTAGCCTTGAGGGGGTTACAGTTTCTGAAACCAGGTAGGGTGGTTCCCAACAGGTTGTCTCCATTTTCCCCTCACCACTCCCCCCATCCCAGTCATCCCCACCTCCCACCTTCAATCCTACCCATGTTTGGCTTTGTCCATGGGTCCTTTATACATGTTCCTTGACTTGACTCTTTTCCCTTTTCCCCCATTTTCCCCTCCCATCTCTCCTCTGGTTACTGTCATTTTGTTCTTTATTTCAATGTCACTGCTTAGATTTTGTTTGCTTGTTTGTTTTGTTGATTGGGTTCCACTTATAGCTGAGATCATATGGTGTTTTCCACTGCCTAGCTTATTTCACTTAGCATAATGCTATCTAGATCCATCCATGCTGTCGCAAAGAATAGGAGCTCCTTCTTTCTTTCTGCTGCATAGTATTTCATTGTGTAAATGTACCATAGTTTTTTGATCCACTCATTTACTGATGGGCATTTAGGTTGCTTCCGACACTTGACTATTGGAAATTGTGCTGTTATGAACATTGGGGTGCATAGGTTCTTTTGGATTGGTGTTTCAGGATTCTTAGGGTATAATCCCAGCAATGGAATTGCCAGTTCATAAGGCAATTCCATTTTTAGTTTTCTGAGGAAATTCCATACTGTTTTCCGCAGTGGCTGCACCAGTCTGTGTTCCCACCAACAGTGTACTAGGGTTCTCTTTTCTCCACAACCTCTCTAACACTTGTTGTTTGTTCATTTTACCACTCTGACTGGTGTGAAGTGGTATCTCGTGGTTTTAATTTGCATCTTTCTGATGGCTAGTGATGCTGAACATCTTTTCATATGTTTCTGGGCCCTTTATATGTCCTCCTTGGAGAAGTGTCTATTTAGGTTCTTTGCCCACTTTTTAATTGGGTTGTTTGTCTTCCTGGAGTAGAGTCGTGTGAGTTCTTTATATATTTTGGAGATCAAACCTTTGTCTGAGATATCATTGGCAAATATATTTTCCCATATGGTTGGTCCCCTTTTCATTTTGCTGATGTTTTCTTTAGCCATGCAGAAGCTTTTTGATTTGGTGAAGTCTCATTTGTTTATTCTTTCCTTTATGTCCCTTGCTCTACAGAACATATTGGTGATAATATTGCTATGTGGAATGTCTGAGATTTTCCTGCCTATGTTTTCCTCCAGGACTTATACGGTGTTGTGACATATATTTAAGTCTTTTATTCATCTTGAATTTATTTTTGTGTATGGTGTAAGTTGGTGGTTGAATTTCATTTTTTTCCATGCAGCTGTCCAGATCTCCCATCATGTGTTGCAGAGGCTACTTTTACTCCATTTTATGCTTCTGCCCCCTTTACCCTAAGAAACGTGGAACACCAGTTCAAAAGAACCTATGCACCCCAATGTTCATAGCAGTACAATTTACAATAGCCAAGTGTCGGAAGCAACCTAAGTGACTATCAGTAAATGAGTGGATCCAAAAACTGTGGTACATTTATACAATGGAATATTATGCAGCAGAAAGAAAGAAGGAACTCCTACCCTTTGCGACAGCGTGGATGGATCTGGAGAGCATTATGCTAAGTGAAATAAGCCAGGTGTTGAAAGACAAACACCATATGGTCTCAGCTATAAGTGGAACCTAATCAACAAAACAAACAAGTAAAATATAACCAGAGACATTGAAATAAAGAACAAACTGTCAGTAACCAGAGGGGAGGGGGATAATGGGACGGGGTAGAGAAGGGTCATCAAGGAACAGGTATAAAGGGCTTATGGACAAAGACAAAGGCAGGTAGGAAGGAGGGGGGAGGTGGGGATGTATGGGGTGGGGAGGAATGGAGGGGGAAAAATGGGGACAACTATACTTGAACAGCAATAAAAAAAAGGAACATTTCTGGGTTTTGACATCTGAGAGATATGGTAAACATTGTCTTTAGTATGTGGATGGACAAGCGATAACAGTTGTTTGATGTAGATGGGAAACTTGGGTGGTTATTTAACATAAAGGCGTGGTTTCCTATCAGAGAATTCTTTCCTATGTAGGAGATATCAGAAGAGTAGCTCCTATAAGTAATTATGGATTGTATATTAGAAAGCCTTCCCCTGATAGTGTCACCTATATACTAACTACAGAAATTGGTGTGGGAAAATCAGATATCTCAGTAAACTTGAGTAGTTTTATGTCAGTATGGACTCCATCTGCTGTCTGATCTGCTGTTGATAGACAACTGTAACTAGGAATATATCATTGTTCAAAACAGATGTTGTCCCATAGCAGGGACTTGGAAAAGCACTTAGAAATCACAAGCCTATTGTTTTTCCAGTGTGGCTGAGTATATTCACCAGGGAATCACCTCCACATTTATTCTCATTCTGCCCTGCCCTTCTGTTTTATGTGGCTAATAATAATGGTCAACGGAGACCACTGGGTACCGTAGACTGTATGGGAATTATTTTGTAAAGGAAAAGGGAAGTTGTCTAGATGAGCTGCACTAAGTAGCACATAACCCAGATTGATGCGAGAACGGTGTAGCAGGTGAGGTCTGCTGATTGATTTTGACTTTGCCTTCTTCTCGTAGATGAACTGCGACAAGCCATCGTGGCCATGATGAACAGGAAAGATGAGCTGGAGGAGGAGAACAGGTATTGTGATCTTCAGGCTGGAGGCAGCATCTCTTCCTTTGACATTCTACCTCTAGGACAGAGAGAATATCACAGAGGAAGGACATTTTGCTTTGTTGGCAAAATTGTGACCAAGGATTTTTTAATTTTGTCTGCGAAGTACCACTTTAGTATATATATAGTCTGAGTGTTAGGGAGGAATGAAAACTTTACAATCATGGCACCACCTTAGAACAAATGAAAAATTTGGTAAAGCTCTTTTAAAAACAGCCATACTGAGATGTAGTTCACATACCACACAATTCACCTATTTAAAGCGTGTAGTTCATTGGTTTTTAGTGCCTTCACAGCTATGTGCAGCCATCACCTCAACTCTCGAACATCTCCATCACGTGGCCGGGAACCCTGTACACCTATTAGATGTCACCCGCCGACCTGCTCCAGCAGTCCTTCGAGTGACCTTTAATTGAGGGCCTTCCTACCACATTGTAGGCACTTCGAATACTTGTCTTAGAGTTATCTCAAATAACGGGTACTTCGGACAAGAAGGCATTTGAATTTTTTCACTTCTCCAAAAGCTCAGTGGCAGACATTGAGAGGAAAAATGGTTTTTTGTCTTTTATCCTCTGTTGAAATCAATGCTAGATACTGGCAGGCATCATCTATGTCACTGTGATCTGGCTGCCTGAACAGGAGCTTCTCAACCGCCAGCACCTTGTCTTGGCTACACAGTGGTCAGTATAGGGACTTGCCCACGGTTATTTGGCTGCTTCCCTGGGGGTTGGGGTGGTTTGGGTGTGCCTGTGTTGTGCACCCACATGTCTGGGTGTTTGTTCATGTCACCCTTTTGTTCTGTTACTCAGAGCAAGAATTAAGCATCCATGGTGACATGTGATCATGATTATTCTTTTTTAAACCTTGTTTTGGGCTCTGCCTGACAAGCTTTTCCCTCATCCTTTATGGAAACATATAAATGCAAACAAGCATGATTTCTAAAACAAAAGAGAATTTTTAAAAGCCGAATCTTTAGACAGCATGATTTTCCAACTAAAACTTTCAACAAAGGGCTTGTAGACATTGCAGGATTTTTCTCCCCTTGCTTCAGCGGAAGCTGTTGTCTTGGAAGAAGCCGTAGGTTGTCTTACCTTGTGAGAAACAATAGTTACTGTCTGTCAATATCTTCTTCCCTGAGAAAGAAAAACGTCATACTGTGATTTGTGTCAGGGGGGCCCCAGGCCCCAAGAAGGGAATTTTCTCAAAACTCTGAAGGGAATACAGGTCTTGGAGCTTTTGATAAACAGTGTCAGATACTTCTGCTTATGTTCTGATGTCACATGGCAAGTGTCCTCTAGATTTGGGAGGCAGATGCACCAAAGTCAGTAAATGTTTTCTAGAAATGCCCATTTGAGGTCCAGTGAAGTAAGTGGTCAGTGGAATCATATTTGGCTCACTTCTAGGTGCTAATTTATGGTTATCTCTGGATGAGCTGCTATCTTTTCTGCTACTTAAGAGCAAGGATGACAGATTCACAAGTGAATGTGCTTCAGAGGGTTAAAAAACTCCAAATATAATAGAAAATATGATATATGCAGTGTCAGACTGTACAGCTCTATAAAACTTATATATGCTTGCTTAACCTGGAGATGGCAGAGGGACAGGGTTACAGTGTGTTCGGTGGGTAGAAGTGGAAATGAGGGTAGACATCTGTCAGATAACCTGAGTCCGTATTCTATTTTTATGGCTTCAGATTATTCTTTTGCTCTGAACTGACATTCATTCCTTTGTTAGATCTCTTCTTCAGTGTGGCTGTGACAAAATGGCCTGAGTTGAATGTGCTGTACCTTTGAGTGGGATGTCTGTAAAGGGACTGCCTGGGATTTGCTCAACACATTGCTACTCTTGATTTGAATAGGGACGGAATCATGGATACAGAGAGTGTTTTGATGGTTGCTAGATGGGAGGAGGGTCTAGGGAAATGGGTGAAGAGGGGAGGGTATTATTAAGAAGTACAAATAGGTAATAACACAATAGTCATGGGGGTGTAAAGTGCAGTATAGGAAATGGAGTAGCTAAAGAACTTATACACCTGATTCATGGGTGTGAACAATGGTGGGGGGATTGCCTGAGGGAATGAGGGGTGCTGAGTGGAGGGGGCAAAGGGGGAAGAACTGGGACAACTGTAATAGCATAATCAATAACAAATAATTAAAATTAAATTAAATTAAATTAAATTAAAAAGCTGCCCACAGGCTATTGGGACATAGAGCCTGGGCCACAGATAGTTCCCCTAGGGTTCATCCTAATTATTACTCTGAGGTGTTTGAGCAGAGTTTGCTATCTCCTTAGGTATATTTACATACAAGGTATAGACTTGAAATATGATTTATGCAGAGCTTTGTGGAAAACAAATGAATTAGTACTTGACTTAGGTAAATAACTGTGTTTTGGGCTTGATGGACTTAATGGCATCTGAACAGATGGGCCCTCCTCTTCCCAGATCACTGCGGAACCTGTTGGATGGTGAGATGGAGCACTCGGCTGCCCTCCGGCAGGAGGTCGACACCTTGAAAAGGAAGGTGGCTGAGCAGGAGGAGCGGCATGTCACAAAAATCCAGGCATTGGCAAGGTAGGAGGGCAGAGGAACTGGGAGGTAGGTGTGGGGAGGCTTTATTAAAACCCAAGCACACCTTTACCAGCATTTTTTAATTAAAAGAAGATAGTGACCAATGGAAATAAAGTTTGTGCATTTGAAATTTTATGATTTTACTGAAGACATATTGAATAACATGTATGCACATGGTTCAAAATATAAATGGTTAAAGTGTGCAATCTCCAGTGACCCAGTTTGCCCATGGAGGTGGGCAGTATTACTGACCAGGATGCTCCATGCGCACAAGCTGATATGTGTGCACATACTTTTTCGTTTCCCTCTCTGCCTCCTTTTATTCTTTCCTTCCTTAATGCGCAATGGTGGCTGATCTTCCACACCACTCACTTTACATTGTAGAGATTGTTCTGTGTTGGTGTACACAGGCCGGCCATCTTTAATAGCTCATATTTCATTGTCTGACTGCACCAGAATTCATTTGACCAGTGTGCCAATAGCTAGGCATTGAGGTGGATTTTAGTCTTTTGCTACTTCTAATAATGCTACTGTAAATAACCGTTGCATTTATTCTTTTGCTCTTATATGACTGTATTTGTTGGAAATGTTCCTGGAAGTAGAATTGCAGGGTCAAAGTTCTGTGCTTTTTTCAGTTGGATAGAGTTCATCAATTTGCCCTCCATGGAGGCTGAGCCAATGTACGTTCCACAGGAGAGGGGAGAGGGCATGATTGCACAGCTGTGCCCACAGGGGTCGGCTCCAACCCCTGGGCCTTTGGTAATACCGTGGGTGAAAAATAGCTCTGGTAGATTATTTTTCATTTGCATTTCCTTAATGAGGAGTATGGTTCAGCCTATTTTTATTTAAGAGCCATTTTATTTTTCTGTGACTTCGTTTATGTCTTATTAAAGAAGACTATAAAGTGAACCTCCTAAAATCCCAGCTTCCATAAAAACATGCATCTTTACAAAACTTGCTCATATAGAAAGCTATTTTCATGTACTGTACTTAATCTGTAGCCTGTCATTGCTTAGCCTGGCTGCCTCCACCACTTAAGCTCCATGTTAACCATTTCTGTGTGTGCGGATATGGCGTTGCATTGAACTGATGCACTAGACTAAAATAAGCATTTGGCGGACATTTGAGTTCTAGTTTTTTCCCTATTTTAGTTAAGATGAAGAATTTATTGGATCTAACTTCAAACTACTTTAAAATGAGACCAGGAGATAAACGTGGCTGTGCAGGGGGATGGGGAGTGAAGCCGGCTCGCAGCAGCGCATGTGTCGTCCTGGTGCTGGCAGTGCAGGTGTCACTGAGGTGACTGTTGTGTGTGCGTAATCACAGGCTGGTGCTGGGGTCCCATATTTAACTTCAGTTGGAACTTCTTTCTTTACATTTTAAAATGACTTCTCAAGAGCATCAGAGATTGTTAAATGACGACAACAAATAACAGTAATGGGTACCCAATTTGGCGTGTTGCCAGCTGGACTGCCATTTTCCCTGGCCATGCCAGGGTTCTGTGGAGTAATGGTGTTGGTTCACAAAGAAGGCTGAAGTCTATAGAGACCCTGGTTCTGAATCATCAGAGAGAGACAGACTTATGTTCTCTGTCACTTTTGGATTGTGTTAGGAGTCAGCTTAGCCATGAGTTCCTGCTCCACTGCTTGCAGATTGTGTGCTTCTGGCCGGTGGCTTAACTTTCACAAGTGTGCATTCCCTCGTTGATAAAACAGAAAGGCTAGTCTTATTTATCCACCTGAGAGGGTTGAATGAGGAAGAGCATACGTGGAAGTACAGAAGGCTCTGGGTGTGAGCAAGCTATTGCAAGTGTACTTTACAGGAAGCATATTTTAGTATATGATAATTCTTAGAAAAATTTTAGCCACTGAATGGAGTAGAAAAAATTTTCTTAACTAAGCAATTTTATAATCTGAAGTCTCCTCATTTAAACAATGGGTAGCTAAGAGTTTGAGGTGCCTAAAAGTTTGCAGTTTGCAGGTAGAAGGAACATCTGTAAAATAAGCAATAATTCAGGGAAAAACAGGAAGAAAGCAAACAGAGAGGCTGGACATAGACATTTTGAGAACTTCAACTGCCGACATGTTCCAGGCAGAGTTAATCTTTGCCAACTGTCAGAACTTTCTTCTTGCCACAGAAGGAGTAGCTGTCAGTGATATCAAATGGTAGTCCTGAGTGGTCAGTTGTTCCTTGGGGGCAGTGGGGCACAGGTAAGGTGGGACAGTGGGGCTGGAGGCCAGGCCTGTGTGTGTTCATTGGGGCCACCCTGTTCTCAGGTCCATGTGTGCCCAGGTGGCAGGTATCATAATGCCAGTGGTTTAGCCTAGTGGTTGGTGGCAAGGATTCTGGCATTGGACTGCAGGAGTCTGACTAGGGCTCTACTGCACATTAGTTGTGTGACCTTGAACATGTTACTTAATTTCTCTGTTTCTATTTCCTTCGTTATAAATTGAGGATAAGAAAACTCTCTACTTCATAGGGTTGATGAGGGTTGATGCACAATAAAATGCGAGACCATATGTGAGCTCAGTAAATGTGTTCCATAAGTGCTCAATAAATGTTAACTATCATTATCATTTTTCTTTAGTGTAATAATTATATTACTAAAAAACTTTGCCTAATCAAAAGTTATAGTTTAATGGCAGTGGTGCAGAAAGAATTAAGTACTAGGCTATTTCAGACTCAAAAATTATTTTTGCTATAAATATTCTAAGAGTGTGTTTGTGTGTATGACTGTTTTACTGGCTCTGAGTATATGCTAGTTGTAAAACTGGAACATCCCTGAACAAACAGAGCATATTGTTACACATTTCTTTTCTTTTTCTTTTTGCTCATAATGAATGATTTTCCTTTTGTGCTATCATGGCTCAACCAAGAGCAAGGCCATGTAGCCAGCCCAGTGCTTGTGTGGGTCCCAGAGGCTGCTCGGTTTTGAGGTAGAGGCATTACAATCAGTAGCAGTTCAAGGAAGGTAAATCTTGTTCCCTAAGTAATTGGTTGCCTTACTTCCCATTGAATGAAGAAAATGTGCGTATGAGCTAGGTATTCACAGAAAGATGATACACATTGACATGAAGTACCTTTGAGAGAAGCACGTGAACAGGGTTGTTGGATTGTTGGGGAGACATTTTCTTTTCTGTTCATTGTATTAGTTATCTCTTGCTATGTAACAGGTTGTCTCCAAACTTGGCAGCTTAAAACAACAAACATTTATGATTCTCCACAATTTCTGTGAGTTAGAAATGTGGGAATGGCTCAGCTGATAGGTTCTGGCTCTGAGTTTCTCATAAGGTTGCAGTCAAGGTGTTGGCCAGAGTTGCACTCACGTGAAAGCCTAAGCTCACTCAGGTAGCTGCTGGCAGGGGGCTTTAGTTCCTTTACACGTGGGCCTCTCCAAAGGGCTGCTTACAACACAGCAGCTGGCTTGCCAGAGTGAGTAACTCAAGAGTGAGAGAACATACCCAATGTGGGAGCCACTTTGTCTTTTATAACCTAGTCTTGGAAATGAGACATGATGACTTCTGCTATATTCTGTTGTCATATAGATCAACCGTGGTGCGCAGGCCAAGAGGTAGGGAGTGTAGGGGGCCATCTTGGAGGTTGCCTACCATGTCCACCAGGCTTCTCTTCCTCCTTGGGGCAAACACTACCCCTGTCTTTCTTGGCAGGTTCTTCCCACATATCCCTCCAACCCTGCCCCTATAGTTTGGTGTGACTGACTCTGGCACTGCCTGTCCTAGTTTCTAGAGCAGGCCACATGATCAGGCCTGGACAGTGAGCTTGTTCCATTCCTTGGCCATCATAGTTGGGTTAGAGAAGGGCATGAGGCCAGGCTGATCCTATAAGAGCCAATGATAGCATTCTTGAGAGGATACGAGGTACGCTAGGAGTTGTTGGTGGCTGTCTTTGCTCTTATGTGGGAAGATCCACACTGTGACAACACAGTGGAGAATGGAGGGAGGGAGAAACCCACAACCCTAATGATATCATTTAAGCTCCTGGATCCAGTCTTTCCTGAAGCAATTTTTCCTCTGGACTTTTCAGCTTTGTGAGCCAATAAATTCCTTTTGTACTTAAGCCGGTTTGTTACTGGTCTCTCACTTGTAACTCTGAGCCCTGACTAATGAGGCTTCCTGGTTTGGATTGGAGCAAGACATGTTTTCTCTGTGCTCCCCAACAGTCATCTTGCCGGATCGGTGAAGACACTCCAGTTTGTTGTGATTCACCACGGATGTGAACACAGCCCACTGGATTGTTTGACGGAGCACTGCTCAAGGCCTTTTCTCTGGTGTCTCCTGTCAGTGCCAGCCTTACTGTTAGACTCTTTTGTCACAGCTTTGCTCTCCTGTTGAGGACCTCTGGTGCACTAACAAGAACTGTTGTTGGTTGTGTGACTGGAGCTATTCCCTTTACTTTTCTGAGCCTCTGGTTCATCATCTGTTTAAAAATTTAAAAGGAGGTGGGTGGCTGGGGCCCTTCCATACTTTGTGTAAGGATGCTGTGCAACTGTGTCCAGGCATAATATAGTCTTAACTAGTATTAATGTGCCTTTGGCAGTTGAAGCCCAAACCAAATTAGCTTGGGTTAGCAGGCATTTTGTATGACTGTAACTGGTCTGTTCCTTCAGGTGTCACTGGGCCTGGGTTCTCCAGTGAGGTCAGTCCTCTTTCTCCCCTGCTCTTGGCTCTGGGCCCTCTGGATGTTTTAGTGCCCTTCCTATGTAGGGCCTCTGCACCCAGCTGCAGAGATGGCCTCTGGGAGCAGCAAGCCTCATGCAGGATCCAAAGAGAAGGCACTCCCTTTCTCCTCCATATATAACATTTTAGGAAGGCTTTTCATTGGGCATGTTGTGGCCAGGGGCGAGCATAAGTTCCCGGGGTGTTAAATCATGCGGGCAGATAAATCATGTCGGTTATGCTTCCTTATAGAACTGTGGAAGATTACTTGAGCTAATGCTCCTAAAGCAGTCCGTGCAGCTCAGGGTCATCATAAGTGCTTAGTGG